AAAGCATTTCCCTTTTACAAGCAAAGGCAGGAAGTTTGAAACACCGTGGAAAATGTTGAGGCTTAAAGAGAGCTGGAGGAATGACAGCAGGTCTCCTTTCTCTCCTCTACCCAAAACTCTTCTGCTGTCCCTCCCACCTACAAGTCTGCTATAAGGTAATAAACCCCAGTCCTCCACCCACTGTAAATTACAATTTGCTGGAATGCCGCCTGAAGGCAGGGGCAAATTGGCTCTGACCAAAACTATTGTGCCATTCTGTCTAAAAGCAGACAATTAAAATGAAGCTTTTAAATTGAGATTCTAAGGATGAGCAGATCTCTGAGTCATATCAAGAAAAAAAAAAGTGGGGCTGGGATGGGTTCTGATTTAAGAACTATGGCCCAGGAATGCTTCTGGCATTGGTTTCTAGTTATGGAATCTCTGGAAATTGAATCAAAAGGCAGCTGAGCCAAGAGTAAAGGGAGTGTATGTCGTGCATCCTCTGGGATGCTATGTGCAGTTCTGCTGTCAGGAGGACCCTCCCCCAGGCCTGGCCATGAGGGGCACAGACAGTTAGACTAGCCAAGGAATTCACTTTATTGTTAAGAAAGTACATCCTCACTGTTCCTCGTGTCATATACAACAAACAAGTGAACACTACATATAATTTTCTCTTAGTTTTTCTCTAAATTAAAATGTTATTGTTAAGCTGTCTTTTCTCTGAACTCATTAGGAATGGTTAAAATAATAACTTAGATAGAGATTGTAGTATCATAAGAAACTACATACAGATCTGACTGAAAAATATAGGAGTAATCCCCCTTCTTGGAATATACCCAGAAGAACTCAAATCACTCTATGAAAAAGATACCTGCACACGCATGGTTGTTGCAGCACTATTCACAAAAGTAAACACATGGAACCAACTGTGCTGCCCATCGAAAGTGGGCTAAATTAAAATATATATATATGGTACATATATATGAGTGAATATCACGCAGCCATAAGAAGGACAAAACTATGAACTTCACAGCAACCTGAATGGATTTAGAGTCTATCACACTCAGTGATCTATCACAGAAACAAAGAACAGAGTACCCCATGTTCTCACTCATGAGCGGACCCTGTACATAATACTATAGGAAAGGGATTGGCAGTAGTGGGAAACTGCCAGGGGCGAGGGCACACTTCACCACTAAGGGTACCTGAACTCAAACCAGGTGAAGTGGGGACCAAAAGTGAAGAGTGAGGCCCAAACGTTTTCTGTACAATGACCATTTATATACCTAACCCTGAATTATAACCACCTATAAAACAAAAATTGAAAAATAAATAAATAAAAACAAAAAACAAACAATAAATAAGAAAAATACGGAAGCTGCAAAGTTCCTGACTAAGTGCTTTAGGGAGTTTTTCCTGGCATTCAGGCAAAAGCACCATGAATGGGAAGGAGGTGGTATGAGTGCCGGGGAGCCCAGTGTGGGACATGCTACATCTGTGCTGCTTCTGTCAGTCCATGATACCTTCCCTCTGGTCATGGCATCTCCCCTTCTTGCAGGAGGCAGTTCCTGCTCCGCAGCCATTTCCCCGTGGTGCTGGTGGAGCTGAGGATCCAAGTGTCCCACAGGAACCAGTCTGGTCAGTCAGAGGACCTCACCTCCCCACCCATAGGGCTGCTTCAGAAAATCACATACCCCCAGCCAGGCCAGTCAGAATCTTTTCCCTTGGTTGTTCTGCTGAGAGCCAGCATGGAAGATTCTTTGCCCCACACAAGAACGTGGATCTAAAGCCACCACTAGCCATGTTTTCTGTCTGCTCAAAGGCTGATTTTTTGGAAATAATGAAGATAAGAAAGAAAATGGGCAAAAAACAGATGGAAAAAGAGAGACTCCCATTCGGATTTCAGCCTCAGTAATGTATCTCAAACTGCGATTATCTTCTGTAGCTCTCTCATTTTTGTTGGTTTTTGTCAGTTTTGTCAGTGATTCGTTCTCCCAGTACTCAGGTTCAAATCAGTATTCTCTTTGATGCCATTCTCTCTCTCTCTCTCTCTCTCTCTCTCTCTCTCCCTCCCTCCTCCTCCCTCCCTCCCTCTCCCTCCCTCTTCCCCCCCTTTCCCTTCCCTCCCTCTCTCTCCCTCTACCCCACTCTCTCCCTATCCCTCCCTCTCTCCTCTTTCACTCCCTCTCCCTTTCTTTCTCTCCCTCTCCCTCTTTCCCCCTCTGCCTTTCTTTCTCTCCTCCATTCCCCATCCTCTTCCTCTCCCCCTCCACCCTCGGATCTCACCCCCTCCATGAAGTCCTACTGATTCTTTTCTTGCAAGATGTTCCCTGCCCACCTTTTGGTTTCTGTTCCCCTTGTAGCACCTACTATTCGATTTGCTCCCAGTTTCTGTCCTGCTCTAGTTTACCTGCATCCTTTGACTGGAATAGTCCTGCTAAAGTTGCTTTTTTATGTCATCCCCCCCCAAAAAAAACCTTCAATGGATCTCTGTGGTCGGAGGAAAAATCCAAATTTCTTTGTCTGACAGGCAATCCCCTGCAAGATTAAGGCTCAGTTTCAGTCTTTAGTAGTTTCTTCCACTATGCTTTAAAGTACACTCTCAGCCCAGCTCGGTAGCTCAGCCTGTAATCCCGGGCCTTTGGGAGACTGAGCTGAGTGGATTGCCTGAGCCCGCGGGTTGGAGACCCACCTGGGCAACTTGGTGAGACCTCATCTCATCAAAATGAGCCGGGCATGGTAGCGCACGCCTGTAGTTCCAGCTACTTGGAAGGCTGAGGCAGAAGGATCGCCAGAGCCCAGCAGGTCAAGGCTGTGGTGGCCGGGAGCAGCCACTGCACTCCAGTCTGGGTGACAGAGTGAGACTCCAACTCAAAAAAAAATAAAAAATAAAAAAATAAAGTACACTCTCCATCTCACCCAGGCCTGTCTTGCCACAGTTCTCTGGACACAGATTCTTCATTCCCACATCCTTGTCTTCATCCCTTCTTCTCCACTTTCCCATCTGAAAAGCCATCACCTGCTTCTCACCTATCCAGATCCTTGCTGATAAATCTCAAGTCTCAGTTCCTCTAGAAAACCTTTTGTTCACAGTGTTTTTTCTTCCTCTGCTGGGCTCTTTCTATAGACTCCATCTGTGTGATACTTATTAAGGTATTGTCTTTAATTGTCACATAAAATTTTTCATATTAGAGTTGCCTTATAATCAGATTTTGATTGGTATAAAAACAGAATCTATGTCTTACAATTTGGTTTCCTATTTTCACCTTGGCCATATACTTCACTCTACACTAATGAGTGCTAAAAAATTATTTTGCTATTTCTTTATTCCATAAACAGTGGTGCTTTCCCTTTTTTTCCATATGGTATCTGGTATCTTGGGTACTAAAGATATTTGTAAGAAAAAAATGCTAAACTCTCAAAAAATTTCACTCTATACTTATCCATTATACTAATAAATGTCTCCCCTTCCTCCCACCATTGTCTTTGTTTTGGAAGAACAACAGATTATTTTTCTGTTTTATAAAAAATATAACAATCTGATAAAAGTTCTCTTGTTTATCAACCCTTCTTATCTTCACTCTTGTGCACGTAATTGCAGATCTTAAAAGACCTATGCTTTTAAAGTTCAAAGAGAAAAGTAACAGCAGACTCAAATGTATACAACAAAAGACACAGTAGTATCCTTCTTTCTTTTATTGAAAAGGAATCATTTCTATTCTAACGCAAACAATGTATATTTTACATCATGAAGCAAGATATAATTTACATATTACATTTCTTATGAGATCTTTATACCCTAAATGTCATTCCCTTTTTTATTAAGTCACCTCTTCTGGTTTAATTTAATCTGCCAAGTACCCTACAGATCAGCATCTTGTTTGGAGAGAGACTGAGGACACAGGCAGACCGTTCTATGTATGCATCTGTATCTGGGTGTAATGATGGTGAGCAACAGGGGTAAGTCTTGACATTTGTGGCCCTCGAGTCTTCTGCTGACAACTGACTTAACAGCCAGAAGGCTGCTTCTGCAAATCACATATCAAACTTGTATTTAAAAAGACATCAATGATAAATGAACAAAATGAAGTGCCTGTACTACATGTATACTTCTTGATCAAGTGCTCACATAATAGATGCTTGTGGTATTGGTTCACCAGCAGTGAATGTTTCTTTGACTGACCAGCACTGGCTACTGTGTGGTATTCCCAGATATCACTTGCCTGAGGCATTGGATAAAACCACCCAGTTTCACCTACCATTCAGGTTTGTGGGTTCAGGCTTTTCTGTTCACCACTGAAAATGAATGTTTAAATTAATGATTCAAATGATTTTGTTTCACATGTCCCTCTATCTTTCTACTCCCTTGTCTAAAACTCGCCCCTTCTTAAAGAAAACCTTTCCATGTATGATCTTTGTTCCCTGCATAACTCAAATCCTCTTTTAACCATTCTCCCCAAACTCCAAACTTCCAAAGTTCACCAATTTCTTGGATTACATTCATTTCACAAGTCAAAGAATGTTTCAGTCTTTGAGGATGTACTGATACCTCAGAACTTGATAATCCACGGCAATGAATGAAACAAAAGAGTGAGTAGGAACACTCTTTAGGAGGCAAGTAATGTGTGTTATTCAGCCAGCCTACATGACCTTTCAGCAAGAAGTGTTTTAAAAGTGGGTTAAGGGAAGAGGAAATCAGTTGGTGAAAGCAAAATGCATAAGATGGGCTTCTTTTTTACTTACTATTGAAAGAAGTACAGAATCAACATTTGAAATACATTTTCAGATTGGTGGCTGTTAGACTGAAATAATATTGCCATTAGTTCAATCTGATATGCCAAGGGAAATATGAATGTGTGCGCAAAGTGCATCTTAAAACCCAAATTCCTGACCTGTCACTCACAGTACAAAGTTGGCATATTTGGCCAAAATCAATCTAAAGGTTTTAAATCACTCATAACTAAGAATTATTAGAACCAAGCTGATCAGGAAGAGAATATAAGTTAAAAATGTTAGTTCTATGTGTTTTAAATTATTCTTTGGTTAGTTGGTGTGACTTTTGAGCGATCTGAAAATATAAATCTATTTCTCATTTCCAAATATAAGGTTATAAGTATGTACAGCAAGGTAGCATTTCCTTACTAGAAAACAAGACTTCCAGGTACCATATCATTCCATTACATTGTACACTTTTATAGTCCCTTTTCTCCCATGGCTACAAAGTGCTGGACATACAGAGAATACAGGAAAGAATAAAGGAGCAAATGAATAGAGCCTCACAACACCCCTGTGAGGTAGGTAAGTATTGTTAAACCCATTTTACAAATGGGTAAACTGAGGCACAGCATGGCAATGTGGTTTGGTCAAGTCCATCTGGCAAGTTACAAAGGCATGGCTGAGAATGGGAACAAAGAGGAAGGAACAAAGAAAGATCAATCCTGGCTCCCAGCCCTAGACACTAAAATTTATTTCAAAACATTAAAAAATAAATATATCCCACAATTGCCTTTTAAATTTTGTAATTTAGACAAACCTTCAAGTATTCCACTTAAACATGTGTCTTCCAGATTTGTGTTAAGTGAAGAAAGGGCAGATGACTATGGTTTTCCCTCCTTTCTCTAAGTGCAGTTCCCGTGGTAGGTCAGATGTATCAGCATTCCACCAGGGCTCAGGCTCAAATATAAGAGCATTTTTACAGCCGCCAATAGCTTATAGTTCATTTAAAGCCCTAATATGGGAAGTGAGCTCTGTTCTCAAACAGCTGCCCTATCAATTGCTTTATGGTTTTAATGAAAATTTTGTGTAGAGAAAGAAAAGCAGCAAGATCCTTAATTAATAAGTCTCATCACTATAGAGATAAGAGCAGTGGTGATGATGTAAATTTTGCTTTTAGTAGTGTTTGAGAAATTGCAAACTCAAGCTTGCAATATTTTATATATATAATATATAAATATATACAGTATATATATAACTGTGCATCTGACTACCCTTAAGGCACCAAAGAGATGTAAGCATGCCTTTTACAACTCAGTTGTTGTGATTCTAGAAAAATGAAAAATATTTCTTCTATCCAATAGCCTGGGACAGCAAATCATTCAGACAACAAGTAACTTTAACTTAAGATGGTTGGTGATTTGGGTGGGGTGAGGGATGGTGGTGATGATGATATTATAATCTATAGCTTACAGCTTAACTCTAGAGCTTATATCTAGAGCTAAGAGCTTAGAATTAGTCAGACACAGTCAATTACATTGGATCAGACAGGCCAGTGACCAGATAGATGTTATACACATATTTTTCCCCAGAAGCTGATGAGAAACCTTGACCATGACCAACAGAGATGGTGACAATGAGAAAGGAAGCTACGTTCATTTGGCACAGATTCTTCAGAGAGACTTTGGCCTTTTAAAAGCTCCTAGGGCTTCCATAGAGGAAACTGGGAAGAGGACAGGGTAAGGCACTGAGGTCCCAACAGGTTAATGAGGAGACTAGAGGCAGTCATTCTGGAGATATATATGGTTTCTTTGGCTGCTGCAGATTTTTTAAAACCTCATACAATCATGGAGGTGGGTGGGCTGAACCTAGCTGAAGAAGCTTGGAGTATATTAAGCAAAGCATGAATAGAAAGAACAACAAAATCAACACACACAGAAACAAGTGATGGTGGCATCCCAAAGGGAGGAGGAACATTGGCTAACTAATTTTCATTTTGCTCCTCTCCTGCTTCTCTCTGCCATGGTCCCAATATTTTAGTTCTGTTTTTTGTTGTTGTTGTTGTTGTTGTTTGTTTGTTTATGTTTTACTTTTTTTCCCCCAGCAGATGAAGAAATAACAGAGCAGGATAGGTGTCTTATGGTTTTTGACTTCTTCTTAGGCCTGTTTAATTATTTTTTTCCTCAGTTGACTGTTGGCACCTGGTTCCTCTGTAAACTATATTCCTTGGCCTTCAGTCTCAGGTTGGCAATGCTGTTGGCCATGTTGATGCCCTGTGCAGGGCTACTGTTGGCACATGTGGCAGAATAAGTAGCCATGGCGCTGTAGGGACAAAGGAGAGAGCAGGGAGAATAACAGGCATTAGTTTCATGAAGCTGCAAGTCCGTGCCCCAGATGGATGCATTCTTGGGATGGGGGCAGGCAGGGGCAGCTAGGTTAGACTAGATGACCTCTAGGGTCCCATACAGCCCCGGCTTTCCATTTAGTTAAGGCACTTGGAAGAGAGTGGCCATGTTTTGAAGAGCAAGGGAAAGTGATAGAGAATGAGGTGAGGGGAGGAGTAGTGTTTGCTGTGTTGGAGACAGTGAGTAATGATTTATTTCTGGGGTGAGGGGAGAAAGTTGCTCAAGTTAACTAGCAGGTGTTTCATCAGCTGCCTGATTAAAACAGTATTTCTTCTCTCCTTCTGCCTAACTTCCCAGTCTGTGGGGGCAGCAAGAAAGAGAGGCAAGTATTTGAAAATGAAGTAGAGGGAATTGCACTTCTTCATTGTTGATAGCTGGTCTTAATTCCGACCATTTTAGATAACCAACAAATACCATAGTAAATAATGTGTTTGCAGAATCAGTTAAATAACCCAAGATAACTTCTCTGCCATTCTTGATTCATTGGTTGATAACTCCAAGTATTTGCTGAATCAAAAGGTTCCTAACCCATTGGCCTTGATTTTATAACCTTTCTTCAAAAGTATTAGAGTAGCACACACTGCCTTTGGGGCCCATTATTTTGGAAATGATTAAATCTCCCAGATAAACTATCAAAGGCTCCCGTTTCAGTACTCCTGACGTCAGAGTAACTGTCTACCACTGTCCGTATTTCTGAGAAAAACCTCAGGTTGTTTTTCATTGCCAGAGATCATATTTAAGGCTTAGGAACATTGCTGGGCAGAAATCTGTCATTGGTGGGTTTCTGCTAATTGCATCCATGAATCCCTTTTAAAGAAAAGGTTTCATAGACCTAGATGCAAATTGCTCTTTATACTAAATAGTTAAAGGAGTACTCATTTTAATTAGATGAAAATGTTTCTAGTTTTTTCTAAGATTAACAAAATCCCTTTCAACTAAAGGTTTGAAAGAGATAGACTTACAAGTGGAATGATGTGTGCTTGTCTGTTGCCTGCATTCCAGTGGAATTTTGTCAGCCACACAGGAGTTTGTGGTTTGAGGATCAAGTGACAAGATCAGAAAGAGAAAAGCAAAGCTACTCTACGAATAGAGAGAATATATCATTGATACTTATTTGGGACACCACATAGTCAAGACATATAATAACCTACTTCAATTCAGTTACTAGCAATTAACTCAAAAAAAAAAAATAAGTTAAAGAAACATAATTAGCTCCAAATCATTAGGTTTTTCCAGAAGTACACATCTTTAATTTAAAATCCTTATGGCACCACCATAAATATACAGATAAGTGTGTGTGTGTGCATGTGTGTGTGCACGTGTGTGCACGTGCTATGGCACAAAGAGACTCAGAAAGATTACAAAAGAATCCTATTTTCTTCTATTTCATTTCTGCCTGCTTCAGTCTTACTCATGATTTCTGAGTAGATGACCTTAAACCTCTAGACAAGGTTAGGTTCTCTTACATAGCACCCCATACTTTTGCTTTTAGTATTCGATTCCATTTTAATTAGTAATTCATTTGTTATCTATCACTGTCCTTAACTATATGCTCCCTAGATATCACATCTGCCTTGTTCACAACTGTATCCTCAGGTACAGTTGATACCATACCTAGTACATATTCAGTGTTCAATAAAGTGTTTAGTGGAGAGACAGATAACTGAGATAACTGAGAACTATCTAGATAGAGTATGATTAAACTGATTCATGCTTAACATAATTGGTCTCTGTCATCCTGCTATGAGTAATTATTTCTTTTAAAAAATCTTCCCCATATGCTTTTATTCTTAGGATCTAGTCTTTGTTGTTAATTTTGTTGTCTTAATAGAAAAGCAAAATCAGGAGGACATGATGAAAGCAGAGGCTGGTGATTGTGTATTCTTGAGTCTGTTAAAAATACGTTCACACTAAAAACTGAACAAATATTAGTACAGTTTAGACTAACACTTCTACTTCTGCCTACCAAGGGACAGAGACAGTAGAATCCCCAGTTAAGTAGGTAGATTTAAATTAGAAATGAGATAAATGATCAGAACAGCCCATTAAAATGGACATGTTTTGTAAATGTACCAAGAGATGTCATTTATTTTCAAAACCCGTGTGTGTGTGTGTGTGTGTGTGTATGTGTGTGTGTGTGTGTGTGTATTTGTGTGTATAATCATGGAGTTACTATATAAATTATATGCTTTCATTCAAAACCCTACCAGAAATTTATGCAAACTAATAAAACCTATAAATTCAGTCCTCTACATATGAACCTTCAAGTTGTGAGCTTTCAAAGATGTGCATGTGTATTCATTAGTCTAATCACATAAGTTAGTTCACATGTCTGGTGTACTTGTCACATGCATGCATCTTCTACAAGTGGTTGTGTTTTTGTGTACTTTACTGTATTGTATAGAGTACAGTAGTACAGTGTCTTCATTTCAAGCCCAGACTGTCCAGAAGCAAATGTGAAAACAGCAGTGATGTAGCTGGTCTGCTAAGTAGTGCCAAGTGATAGACACTTGGACTTTGTGTTGGACTTATAAACAAATGGACTTACAAATGCACTCTCAGAACAGAACTTATTCATATGTAGGAGACTTACTGTACTCAAGAAATTTCTAGACAATACCAAAGAGCCAAAGATCTAAGTTGCTATGGAAAGAGATTGCTGGATTTGGGAAATATGCCTAAGTCTTAGATTACTATGAAATCAACCAAATCTCCCTTTTCAACCAGGTTTCTGTGAGAGAATTAAGCCCTAAAGTTAATGTACAATTAGTACCCTTCTACACACATAGGAAAGAGCTGGAATTGTGAGTTATCTACATTATTTGCTAAGTAGTGAGACTAAATTGGTTTTTAAAAATAGAAGGCTAAAACTTCATGAGAAAGCATAAAGAAAAATTCTCGGCCAATAAATTGTAGATTGTCATGAAGTACTGTGCTTTTAAGTACTTGGCCTAATTTTATGTTTTTTATCCTTTGAGATTCTGGACAAGCAGAGTCCTATTTAATAGAAACTTACCCTTTCTTTGATAATCAAAGGTGTATTCCATTTCCTTAGCAGACAAAAGGAATTGGAAACCTGGGCAGGGAAGTTTGTGGAAGATGCTATTACTGTTTCCCAGAAATATCTACTATAGTGGTGGTAGCACGTTTGTCTACTGGACAATTATTTTTACTGTAGTTACTTCAGAGTCTACTAGGTTTACCATCTAATAGTCTAGTCTGAAAACTTGGAAATATTGTTTCTTTCTCTAATGCAGGCCACACAGTAATATTCCAAATGAGATGAATGCTGATCCACTTTCTAACTCAAAAACCAATTAATGAAAATTAAGATCATATCTTGTGCTGGAGATTGGATATTCACCAGACATTTTATACTTAAATGGCAGCCTGTGTTTCCACAGTATAAAACAGTGCCCTTGTCCAATTATAAGGTGATGCTATTATAAGATGGTTTAAGAACACCATTGTGTTAGCAAGTCTGTGAAAATTCCTTATAGATAACGCTCAAGTTAGTGGAGTGTGAGGATGAAAAAGAATTTGGCTTTAATGAAAGAGTTTTGCAATTTCCTCGGAGCATGATAGGTAATAAATTTTCACTTGCTGTTTAGGAAAGTTATAAACTTTCAAAATATTGGCCTAACTTATTCCAACATTCCATAGCCATAAGAAGCAGAATAAAAGAACAGAAGCCATCTTACTTCATAGCCTCTTAACAAAGGTTTAGAATATATAATCCTATGAATAGGGATTCCAGTGGCATTTTGAGTACATGCTAAACAGTCTGTTTTCCCTCCTGTCATTTGATGTAGGTCTAGTTTCTCATCTCAAGCTAAAAGTGCTGTATAGGCAGCAGTGAGCAGTTCTTTGACAGACCTGAGACAAGTAGGGTCTTGACCCTGAAAATACAGAATTAATGAGTGGGTCCTCTAAGAGTAGCTTAGTTGTGCTTTAAACATGACATTAGAAGTAATAGGGAGAGGACCGACCTCCTAAAGTGACAACAGATGCAGGAGAGCCTTGAGTGGCTGCCAAGCTCAAAGGCTGTTCATAACCACCTGCTTTCCATGTCATGGAAACTTCTGGAGTTTTACTTTAGGGAAAAAAAAAAAAAAAAGATCCCTGAAATGTCTTCTCACAAGACTGCACTGATGGGAAATTAACTATTTTCAACCAACTTATAGGACCATTCAGAGCTTTAAAATGACCACTAACTATACAAGATTAAGCCTTCTGAGAGAAAAAGAAGAGATTGAAACCAAATGATTTGTATAGAGTAAGCACATGATGGCAACCAAGAGTCTGCTTAACAACAGTCAGAAAGCCTGCCTACTGGTCTTGCCTTTCGAGCAGAAGCCATTTATTCCTGGAAGCAGGGTGCAGACATGAGCTGAGTCCTGGGACTGAGTTCCTACAATTTGGCTAAAGCACATTTTTATTCAGTTTTAGTAAAGTTCTTTGTGTCTGTGACCAAGAAACAACATTGCTGAATAAAGTGCATTGAGAAATTAGAGATTAATAAGAAATGCTTGCATCCAATCTGTTGATTCAGCAAGTCTGCACTGGAACAGAACAGAGCTGACACATTTAAGTCAGCCTAAAATTTTTCCATCTCCTTATTTGGAGATTCCTAGCAGATGTAGCACAACCATAGACATCAGAATGCTAACCACCAGCAGCGTTACAGTACTGTTTTCACTGGGGACAAATTATTTTTGATCCTTTCAAACTACCCTGAAAGGTAGTTGTGAAGGGAAAAAAATGTTAAAATGACTGCCAAACATCAAGGAAGTATAGAAAATACGATTTGTACGATGATTTTAAAGCCAGGAAACGTATGGACAATTGCCTCTCTGCTTTCTAATTATCCATAGTGTTAAGTCTTACAAATCACAAAACAATTGAGGATTACTTGGGGAAAAAATAATACTTGACTCAATTTTCAACCCCAACTTTGTTTTCTATTTTATTTTTTTAGACAAATGATGACAAGCTGTTTAAAATTTCACCCCAAAGACAATTCTGTGAGTCCAAGAAACCTGATTCCTTCTGAGATCCTAAGGTTTTACCAACACAGGGTTTTCTCAAAGGCGGTAGAGCTTACAGTTTTCAAGACTCTGTGATGCATGGAACTTGGAGAACATCTCTTTGGTTTATTCTTTTGTCAGTGCAAGAACAACGGAGGTTTACTTGCTTCATCTAAGAAAATTCAGTACCAGCTATCCTAGGGAGATTTACTTTTAAAGAGAGCTCCATAAATCCTTTTGAAACTGATCTTTTTTTATTCAAATAACCATTTATCACTTTTGTTTTTAAAATCAGAAGTTGATTTTTTAAATGTGTATTTAGCTCTTAAAGTGGACACACTTGGGCCACATTTCATTAGTAAGCCTTCAGTTCACACTACATTTCCAGTGATCCTTTTGCTATTTCTACCTTTTCTTTCTAGGCATGTTTTATATATCAAACTAGAAAGTCTATTCTTGCAAGAAGCTTTTTTGGTATTTTTCTTTTTTTGGAAGCGCATATTGCTTACCTATATGTTCCAAACACCGTTATGAGACAAGCAATGGAGAAACTACCATTAGCTTAATTTGAGGTACAAAGCTACAGAAGAAATCAATCATCCCACTGGTTTGAGGAACAGCAGGAGCCAGGACAAGAACATAGTTCTTTGAACCCCTGCCCCATACACTATAGTCACCTAAAACCTCATTCTTCAAAGCCCAGTAGCAGCATCACCTGGGAACAAGTCAGAGCTACAGAATCCTAGCCCTGCCCTAGATGCAAAGAGTCAGAGTCTACAGGGTGACACCATCCCAGGAGATTCCAGCTGCAGCAATCTTTGGAGAGCCCTACTCCGGGCTAGCATCGCGCTACCCTTCATTATAAGGACACATTTTCTTGCAGATCTGGTTTCCAATAGTATTCCTCGTTGAGGACCTCACTGCTTAAATTTCTAGGGTTGCAGCCCCCACTTTCTTAAGCACACTTAATTCCCACATAAACCCTACCCCCAGCAGCCACCCACTTCCCCCTCTGACAAGTTACCTTTTCAGTGTCTTCCGTTAGAATCCGTTATGAAGCCCCTCGTGTAAACAACATCTTGGGAGGGACGAGGATCTATTTTTGAAAGTGTGAAAGGGAGAAATGAGCCAAATGCGTTCAGCAGATGTCAGGCAGCACCGTGACCACGATCAAATGAGGGGAGGAGGAGAAGGAGGAGGAGGAGGAGAAGGTAGGGAGGGAAATTGTGGGCAAGGATAGCTGGCCACTCTCACTCATCACTAGCTTTCTTTTAAGCCTGGCCCTCCCTCTGGAAATGGCACTCCAGATAAATACTGTGGAGCCAGCCATTCATTATCTGCCTCTCCTGGGGAAGGGGATGTCTGAGAAAAGATTTCTTGGCTACTTCATTTAAAATAGCTGTCAAAAGTCTAGGACTTGGATGATCACTGTTACCCAAGAGGCAAAGCACTTCAAGATTAGTGAGTGTGAATAATTCTGGTGCTTGTGTGTGCTTTCGTTCTCACAATTTGCCTAAGAAAAATAGTCATGAGTTAACAGTGGGTGTATGTGCCAAAAACAAGCTTCCTTCAACTGGTCACTGGTGGATAAAGAAGACACCTGCCTGGACAGCAGTGTATGTGTTAGGAAATGCTTTCTCCCTCTGGTGACTCAGTAGTCAGCCTAACATCATCACCTCTAACATGCTCAAGGAAATGTATGAGGTGCTATAATTAGAGCAAACTACCTGGCCCAGTTTGCCAGGGACAATCTCAGTTTATGCCTGTTATGTTATAGTGTAATTATTAATAGTACTCCCCTTTCACTCTCAAAAATGTCCCAGTTTGAATGATAAATTATACAGTCACCACTCTAGATGCAAAAGACACCCAGAAAATAAAATGCGTTGGCCATTTTCCAGCCCATAATTCTGACCATATGCAAATAATTGCCTTTGCACCTTGTTTTTCTCCTTTCTTTTTCCAGGGGAGAGCTGTGGAAGTCAGCAAACTATCTCTAGAAAGACTGTCTACTCATTGTTCCTGGGTTGTGTGACCAAGTCACCTAGGATGCCTGCACAGCCCAGAATGCAGACCTCAGTTGCAGGCTGGCTTCACTGATCTGAGACAGACCTTGAATCAGAAAGGGATACCTACATAGTTTCCCAACCTTATGTTTTATACTGATTTCAATACAATGCAAGGTTTAATCTGAATAAATATGTAGTCGTGTGGCCTAATATGTCTAATAAAAAGTGGATCACAAGCATTAGTTCTAATTCTGCTTGCTGAAGCCTTAAACTTGGGCATGTGTTCAGTCTCTTCGTTGGAAACAGAGTAAGGACAGAGCTATCACATAGGAGTGTTTCAAGATTTAGCCAAGAGAAATGCCTTTTAATGAATGTCACATGTGAGATAACTAACTTGACAAATAGTACCAACAGGAACAGCAAGTTAATTTTCTGTAACACAATAGGTCTATCATTTTCTTTGCTTCTTATCACCTGTATTTTTTATATCTCCTGAACAATAGTTGTATTTCCTACCAAGCTTCAAAGTGTGAAATCATAACATATTTCAGTTCTAAACATAGCAGAAAAATCTCCAAGTAACAGAATAGCTTTTTGCCACTTTTAGAAATTAACCAAATATAAACACTTCAGTCAACATTGAATCAAAAAACATTATTATTGATTAAATTGCTGCTTTAAACCATTGCTTTTCTACTTATAACTGAAGAATAATTTATTCTTCATACAGAATATAGACAATCAAATTCTATGATAGTGTTTTAATTAATTTTTTACAAACTATGTAAGCGAGAAATGATATCAAAGCATACCATGAAATTAGTAAAAAGCATCAGGTTATATGATTTTAAGTGAAAAGAGCAGAATACAAAATCAGATGTACACTAAAGCTACACCTATATAAAATATTTAACTCTAATAACAAAAATGAACAAACTAGTTATGTCAAGATTGTGGAGTTATGGGTGTTTTTTAAAATGTATCTCATATTTCTACATAATCCTTTCCATTAAAATAAAATATTTCCCCAAAGTCACACATAAATTGCCACGTTGATAATTTCAGTTAGATGCCCATAGACAAAGCACATGTGAAGCAGGCACTGAAGCTAGACCCTCTGCTGAGATCCAGGTAACTACTTTAGTTCAGGAAGAATTCCACCCCATTCACGCATGTGCTGAGGTCTGCCTCTCACTGGTAGGGACCACGTGGTGGCCATCTGAATTGCTTGTGTGAGGAGATCCTATACAGGACCCAGGCAGAAAAAGGTGCAATACTTCCTGGTTGTGATCAAATTCAAACCAAAAATCTTGAAACATTGGGCTCTGAACCACACCCATTTCCTAAGCCATTCAATGGGTCTATGGATTACCAATATTTATAAGAGAGACAAAACAACCTTCCATTTGTTTAAAATATTAAAGAATATGTGATTTCACAATGGTCTTCAAAATGTGTTTTTAGTAAATCCTATGAGAGAGGAGTCCAAACATTAAGTAGGACACACAGATAAAACGAATCTTTCCGGACAGCAAGGTATATCTTGTCTGAGGGTGACAGAGCCCACAGCAGGACTTTCCTAGACATGGGAGCCCTATGTAATAGGACCAAAGGAATTCTGGCTGATTTCTCAACAGGGAATATAAAACAAATTTCCAAATACATTTGTGGAGTTTCTCTCAAGGAATTGATTTGGAACAGAAAGAACATTTAGGCGAGGCTTTTTGCTCTGATGAGAGCTATCAACCTTTGGAAAACCTCTGCATTTCGTACACATGATATTTCATGTCAGGAATTCAGTTTCAACTGGGACATAATTTCCTATAATTCATTTAAAACCTCTCCTAAACCAAGAATTAACTTATATGCCAAAAAGGCAAACAAAAGCATGATACATGAATTTGTGAATACTTCTTCCTCTCCTGAAATCAGTCAGAGAAACCATGTAGCCTTGATCTGTTTTTAAAAAATACTCAGGTTTCTGTTCACAGAAAGGCTCCAGATTAATCCATTATAATAGGCACATGTGTCTCAGTTTCCTTCTGGCATTAACCTATATTTTCTGAACACCACAATAAACAGAGGTTAAAAGTCTCTCTAAGAGATTGAAATGTACTGTTATGTGTTTCTTCAAAAATTTTCACCTTTTTAATATAAAAGTTTAGTGTAAATTATATTTTTATTTAAAAGAAACACACACATGTGCATGCGTGTGCATGCGCACACACACACACACACAAACACACACACACACAAACTGACCCCCAAAGAAACCTTCGGACAAGTGGATAGGAATTAGCAATAGAATAGGAAGGCATTTGGGATCCTAAGAAATCTTCACCTACTAACAAAGAAATGTGGCCATGAAAGCGATCAGAATGAATTTGGGTTTTCTTTCCTTCTTTCTCTGTCATAGACTCTACCTCCCTCCCTTCCTTCCTCCCTCCTTCCCTCCTTCTTTCCCTCTTTCCCTCCCTCCTCCCTCCCACCCTCCTCCCTCCTATCCTTTTTTTAAATTCAGAATCAGTTGTCAGACAGAACGAATTCTGTCTTCAGTCCTACACTTGGAGCCTTACAAGTTAATTCTCTACTTGAGCATAATATAACAGATCTATCTTAAATTTGGAAATGGGGTAAAGGTTTGTTCCAGAATGGTTGCAAGAGGAACACTGGGCACAGCTTAATGATCTTTTCTTTCAGATTCTTCCTTATCTTTGAAACCTTTGCAAGAGTTCCTGAGTCCAAGAGGTGACTGCTGATGGCCTGCCCCTGTCTCTTCTGCTCCACACCCTGCTCCTGGGGCAACTAGTAAGCTCCTGTGAAAATGTGGGGATCTCAGCAAGTTGAATGTCTCTGAAGAGGTTAACCCAGTAAGAAATGGCAGGCAACCACACAAGCAGCTGTCGTGTGACCAACAGCTGAGAAATGTGTGGAATTGGAGCAAGGGAGAGTGGGCCAGTCATTCACCTGTAAGGAGAAGCTGTCCCCCAGGAGAGATAATCGGTGGGTCTTGGAGCAGGACGAGGTACAATGGGCTGCTCCACAGCAGTCACGTCCCCTGAGTAGGATTTGAGGAGGGAAGCGTTTTTATTGGCCAGCATGGCTCTCTCATTTCTGCGGAACTTGGCTCTTCGGTTCTGAAACCACACCTGGAAGATTGTTTGGAGAAGAGAAGGCATGAGGTGGGAGGAGAAAAACAAAAAAAAAAGGTTACACTGAATAAAATCCTGGTTAATTTTACTACATAATGCCTTCCCAAGGAAGATCTAGGATAGATACAGAATTCTTCTCAGAACAATGGAAATATGCCACAATCTTTCCCTGGTGGGCCATGCCTTAAGGGTCAAGACTATCATAACAGGACATGGAAGTACTCAGTAACCAAGTATTTAGAGATGGTATCTGTGGCCATTCCACAGGGCAGCAAATATGGGTTTTGATTCCTGTTCTAATTGTAATCAAGAAAAAAGAGGGAAAAGCTTATTAGACTTCTGCCATAGACACAATGACTTTTCTCAACCCTTTTTCAAAATTCTTCAAAATTTGAAATCTTTATCTGCTTTCATAATACTCATTAGATATTTAATGAAAATTCCCAATGTCCCCAAAATAGATGCTCTAATAAGGATGTAAAAAATGATTTATTTGGGAGGTGTGAAGAACACCATTAGGGGAACAAGGAGGTAACAGAGAAGAAAAGTAACTACTAAAGAGTGTGCTTCCAAGCCAGTTAGTTCTGTGGTAGCTCAGTCCCCGCAGAGATGCTGAAGACTAAGACTAATGCAGGACATATACTTCAAAGTTATCGCTCCTGAAGGGGAGCCAGCTGGGTGTTTGTCCACTAACTCTTGTCAATCATCAGTTATTAATCCATCAGCACTTCTGGAATGTTGACCACAGTCAGGGGAGTTTCCTGAAGTTCTACAAAGAAACTTTTGGAAGAGAAGTGCAAATACTAAGGGTTGGACAGCAAACTGGACAACATTTAATTGCAGGATTTGAGGGATATGGGTGGTACTAACAGCATCTGCTAAAACTAATAATACACCTATCATTTAAGTGTTTCTAAGGCTAGACCTTATATAGGCACATTACATATGCTATTTCTAGTCATCATAACAATTCCACATATTAGATTATTCTCTCTATTTAGAGCTGAGGAAACAGGCTTAATTAGGCAAATGTACTGCATAATGGTGCTTCGGTCAAAAACAAATTTTATATATGATGGGGGCCACATAAGATTATAATGTATTTTTACTGTATCTTTTCTGTATTTAGACATATTTAGATACACAAATACTGTGCTATTACAATTGATTACAGTATTCAGCACAGTGACATGCTATAGAGGTTTGTAGCCTAGGGGCAATAGGCTATACCATATAGCCTCGGTGTGTAGTAGGCTAGACCATCCAGTAGGTTTGTGTAAGCACATTCTGTGATGTTCACGCAATGACAAAATCATCTAACAACACTTTTTCAGAACGAATCCTCATCATTAAGTGATGCACAACTGCAATCTGTTGAGGGTCACACAAATTATAAGTGACTGAGTTTCTGAATTCAAGGACAATGGAATTTTGTTTATTTGTCTGCTCATTTGAGAAATCTTTATGGAGTGCCTGCTGTGGTCCAGGCCCTGTACTAAATGCTGGGAAAAAGAGAATAAGAAAGACTTATTCTCTGCTTTTAAGTAGCTCACAGTCTACTAAAGGAAGACATGTAAACTTGAAAAACTGCAAAACATGTACTTTAGATGCTATTATAGAGATGTAATGACAAAGTATAGGAGAAGGAAATTCTGTCATATGGAGTGGGCAGTTCCTCAATGAAGGGGTCAACATTTGCATAAAATATCACGTGAGTGACTGGTGCCCCACAGAGTTGTGCAACATGAAGGGCCTGGGTGAAATTGGCAAAAATGGCATCTGGACATCTCTGCCCTGGTGCCCACACACCTGGCTCTTCTGTTTCCAGAGTGCCCTTCATGTTGCTACTAGAGTTATTGCCTTAAATGTTAGTCTAATCTCATCAGTGCCCACTTTGCATCATCTGCTGGCTCCCCACTATTAATAGAATAAAACCCAAGTGTCTTACCACAGAACAAAGGCTGATGAGGCATGAGCTTTCTGTCCACCAGTTCAGCCACATCCTGCATAACTCTGGTCTTACACACTGGCCTTCATTCATTCTAATTCCTACCCTGGGAGGTGTGATTACCAGAAGACCCCCGGGTGTGTTAAGTTATTTCCCATTGACATATATCCACACCAGATGCTCCCTCTGCCTGTGACAGTCATTCCCCTCTTTTTCTAGTTGTCAAAGCTCATATTTTTTTTGAAAGATTTGACTTCAGCATTGAACATGGCTTAAAAGTCTGAGTTAGATAAAAAATACTGACTTCACTACTTTAAAGATTTATCCTTGGGTAGTTATTTAATTTCCCTCTTTCTGTGTCTCTTAATCAGTTGGAGATAATAATACCTAATTATAGGATAGTTATGAGAGTTGGTCCAGAATAAGTGCTTAATAAATGTATCCTCTCCCTTTTTTTCCCAGGTAGATTGAAACATCCCTTCTCCTGGTCTATCACTAATTCTTATACATTCCTATAATGAAAGGATCATCTTATGATGTCATAACTATATGGTTTGCACATCTGTCTCCTCTGCCTCAGTTCAAATTTTTAAGGAGAGAGTCAGTGTCTTATTCATACCTAGCAAACCAAAAACAAGTCCAAGATTACTCATAAAATAGGTGCTTGATAAGTGCTTGAGGAAAAAAAGGAGAGGAAAAAGAAGAAGGAAGAAACAAATTTCATAAAGATGAATAAAACATGGCCTCCATCCAAGAGGCCTTCTTAGTCCTGTAGGGAAAGTTGGCCCACATACAACTCAATATAATACATGTCATACTATGATAAATGCCATAAATATAAAGAAGCACAGAGTCAGAAAGAATTGGTGCAGACTGGGAAAGGGTAGGGCTTCATGGAGGAAGAATAAAATCATGGAGAAAGAATTATGTCCTACTCACTTAGGAAATGTTCACAGCTCTTAAGATCATTAGAACACAGTAAGGTGGAAAAGGGGTGGAATAAATAGTTTCAACATATCAGAAGGCATTTCCCTGTTGTAATGGGGCAAAATAATCCCTCAATCCCAAAATTGCTCTTTCACACTTATTTTTAAAATTTCTTCCATAGCCTTATCGAGGTTTCCTTCTTTAAAATTCAGATTCCCATAGCAAAAGTAGCTCTTTAAGGTACTGTGGGTTACTGGTCTAAAATTATTCATTATACCGCTGCAGGCTGAGGTTGGGCATAAAAGATATGGTGGCAGGTGCTTAGGGGAGAGGAAGGAATGTAAAAGCATGGTTAGAGAGCTGTGGTAAGCAGCGTGAGAGAAAGCGGTGAGGAAACGCAAACTTCATTGTTCTGCACTGTGTGGAAGGATGGAGAGAGAAAAACCAAGCTTTGTACCTGTGAACCGCTCTTGCTTGAGCCCTGAGAGATTGCCAACCAGTCACATGGCTACTGTCACCACACTTCCTCCTAACCTACCCTCTGGGCTTCTACAAACCCAGACCACTTTTTTCTTTTGTCACCGTTTTTTTCTTTTTGTCTCTTGGGCAGTATTTGTAGGTGAGGTCCTTGTTTCTCCATGGGGAAACATTTACACTTTTTCTTCAGGCTTAAGGGACCTCTAGGATCTTTGTGTCAATTCATCAAGTGTCTATAATCACAGTATACTGGACCTTGCAGCATAGACACAGACTCTACCCTAGTCGAGTCCCTTGGGGTCTAGCTTAAGTCCCCTCTGGTTATCATTTGCAAAAGGAAATCCCTCACACTCGGACTGAACACAGATATACAAATAATAATTTCTTAAGGAAGATAAGACAGTTTTGACCTGCCCTCTTCATCAAAACAGCAGCTTGCCACTGGCAATATGGAAGCCAGTAAGATCTTTCAGCAGAGATAGTAAAGCACTACTTGAAAAAGCATTTAACCAGGAGACTCTTATTCATTCAAGGTCTTTTGTAATTATTAAGAGCATGAACTTTGGGTCTGTGTATCTGCATTCAAATTCCATTTTAGCCATTTCCTAGCTGTGTTATGTGGTGCAAAATACTTTAACTTCTCTGTACCTCAGTTTCCTCACCTGTATCATGAAGAATACTCTCTATGTCTTTGAATTGGTGTAAGGATGAAATAGATTAGTTATGTAAAGAATGCTACTTGGCATATAAGGGCTCAAGTAGTGTTAGCCATTATATTATAATCATTATTATTGTTAATCACAGGTTGTGCTATTTTCTAGATGTCTGGCTTGCAGTTGACATGCCATGGCATTATTGTGAGAAAAAAAGGCTATCCTCTCTTCACCCTGTCTCATGCCCTTGCCTTTTTCTCTTCACAAAGGCACTGTAAAGATAAATAAAATCATCTACTTAAATATGCTCTGAAGCTAGTTTCTAAGTATTTATTTCCAGTTCCACCAGTGTTCATAATCATGTGTATTCAAAACAAATTTCTTGATGCTTTGTACATTCTCAAGGGCTAGGGAGGGAGGCTGAAGTGGGGACAGACAGTTAGTCTCTTTAACCGCCCTCAGACTCACACTAAAAGCTGGGGGTACAAAGTCAGTGCTCCCATGGGCAACATATACAGCATGAATGGTTAGAGACCAAAGCGAGGAGAGGCACTTGTAGTAAGAAATATTGTGCCCTACCTAAAGACATTCAGTTTGGTTTTTAAAAATACTCTACTGCCCAAAGAAATACAGTTAGAAATTAGAGGCAGTCCTCAAACTGACCATTTGTAACCTATATTAGTACCCACTCCAGGCTGAAATCTACAACTTGTGTTTTTCAGTCTTCAGAGATGTACCTCCGAGGAGGGGAATGCTTGGCTTCAGCTTCCAGCAGCTTGAGTTACCTGCACTCGGGCCTCGGTGAGGTTCACCCGGCGGGCGAGGTCTTCTCGCACAAAGGCATCAGGGTAGTGTGTCCGTTCAAAGACACGCTCCAAAGCCTGCAGTTGGCTGCTGTTGAAGGTTGTCCTGTTCCTCCGCTGCTTTCTCTTCTTCTTTTCCTCTGAGTTCAGCTGATCATCTGGAATAGAAGAAGTTGATGAGAAGGAGCCAAATTCACTGGAGGAGTCCCAGGTAACACTTTTTTAATGGTATCTATATTGCTTTGCTTGTTCACATCCTTATCAAAGGACCACAGCCAAATGTCACCTCTGCATATACAAATGTGAACATTGGAGCTTGCATATGCCAAGAATATCCAGCAATTCTGATGCCTGGTTCTTGCTTCCGTATCTGGGACCAGACTCAAACTATCAGAGAGATTCTTTGCCTGTTCCTTGAAGCCTGTTCTGTCAAAGAAGGCTAAAGGAATATCTCACTCCTGCCCGTGTTCCCTGTAAGGGGAAGAAGAGTAGCTCTTTTTGTATCTCATTTGTCTTAGACAATATTATGTCTACTTGTACCATTTAATTTAGGCCCAATTATCTCCTGGTTCCTTCTCCCCAATATATACGCATGAACACAAATGTAGAGTTAAGAATGGAAACCATGTTCAAGTCAGATTTGAGGGATTTGTTTTACCATGCATTCTCCTTGAAGCAGCAAGTAATTCGTAATAGCATTCACTCAGGTTCCATGTTGTTGACAAGGCAGGCTTCAGAGGCCTCAGCTTAGATCAGGGCTGGTGCTGCAACACCATCAACCCAAGCTAACATTAGTCTGGGACTCAAGATTGGGAAACAGTACCAAAAGAGCCCTGAGAAGAGTTTCACTCCAACTAGAGTTCTAGGGCCCGAGATCTTAGGGAATTTTTGGAGAACCCCAAGTTTTCACCTGTCAAAATCCCTCCTTGCATTCCCTGAGTTCTCCTGAAGATGTCTTGGCAGCTAATCATGCAGCCTGCCCACAACGGTCAGAGAGTCATTGGCTCCTGCACCCAGGCAGGAGCGAGGAATGTGTGAAACTGAGCAGAATACCAATGGTGACACTTCCATGGAACCATTACCCAGGCCTGAGCTGCTGCAGAACCTGTGTCTCTCCCAGAGATTTACAGTATCAATTTGCCGGGGCCCATGTCACACGCTCAGTCTGATGAATGGGACACACATTTCCAACAGCTTCTCCCCAAAAAGGTCTAGTCCAAAGAAAATTATGAGGAGTTGCAGTGAGAAAGGGGAGAAAGGAAAGGTTGGCCACTTACTCTGTATTCAACAGAAGGTAATATGTGCTGTCTCTCTTACCAGATAAAGTCTTCCAATCCTCCCTGATTATAAATAAGACTACTTGCATGGATTATGATGTCTTAAGCATAATGACACATACTTTAGCTTTCATATTATTCTTATTACTGAGGGCATGTTCTAGCTCTGTATGTGGATTCAAAGTGTATCTTAAATCCAGGAGCTCCTAGACTGGATCTCTCAGTGCTGGAAAACTGAGGCCTCTAAGTCTTCTCACTAAGAAACCCCTTCTTCATCAGGGTTGCCTCACTGAGAAATCCCTTGGAGCTTAGAATAGCGAATGCACACTTCTTGATCATTAAAGCATCCAGATATAGTAAGTGCTTGTTGAATTTGTTTTTGGGGGAAACATGACACTTCTCTTGTCCTTAGAAGACTGTTTCTATAGAAAAAAAATTACATGATCTCAGTCAGACTCCTTCAGCCAAGAAGATTCCAACACCATTCTCTCTGTTTCACGATTGTCCTGAATTGATCAACTCTAAGGTCTTTTACATGTATGACACTTCAACTAGGAGCTCTGCTTTGATGGCACTTCTGTGATACTCTTGGAAAGAATATCAGATCATCCACCTCTTGAGAATGGAGCCAATTTAATCATAATTTGGGTGATCTACCAAAGTCTAGGATAGTACAGCCAACCCCACTGATTATACCACTATTTAGCTATTAGCAAAATTAGTTTAGAATAATATCAGCACTATAATTCAAATACCTTGGGTCAAGTACCTTTCAGCAGTTGTCTTGTTCCTGTATTCTCCTTCCTATTTAAATATCTAGAAACATTCCTGTTGTTCCCTTTCTTTTTTCCAAATCTTTGTATCTACAGTTCTATATGTCTTGCACTTCAGGTCTTGCCAGATCATCCAGAACTTTATGACAGCACCATAACCTGGTTTCAACCAAAACAGAATTCTACAAAAAATCCTGGGCTTCCATACCTTCTCCAAACTGAGACTGATCAGATAGATGCTAGGCTATTATTTTTAATTACAAAGAGAAAATCCTTTACTAAGTCAATCACATTATTTGTTTTCTTCCCTCAAAGAAAATTGTTTCTCAGGTGTGACAACAAATTCTAAGTCTTTTTTGCTATTTCATATTCCTTCATGTACTGTCAAACTATGATCAAGACCAAGAATACTTTATGTTTTATTCTTAGTCTTACAACCTGCTGCATAATCTCAGTAGTTCTTTGAAATCTTCCACTGTTCACTCAAATTCCACTGACTGTCCACCATAAACCACCAACTCCCCTGACGTGGGAGTAAGGGAAATGGAGAATTATAGTTTATGACAGGGAATAAATAGCTATGATGACCTGAAATGATTCCAGCAAAAGTTTCCCAGTGAATGTTCTTGTTGTTTTTAACAAATGAAAACACCAGTCCAGATCATGTTGGAGGTGAGAAAAGACATGAAAATAACAGGGTCCAGGGAGCCTGGATCTGGCAAATATCCTTCAACGTACAAGCATAATGGAAAGAGACTATGAGTGGGCAACAGAGACAGCTTGAATGGCAGCCCATAGGCTCGTCTGTCTTTGCTCACTAATCACAAACTGTGAGCTCCCTGTTTTCCCCAGAATGCAGAAGAACAGGACCCAGCATAGTATCTCCAGCAGCATGAGAAGAAACATAAACACTGTCGAGGTTTACAAATGCAGGGCATCTGAAGGGCCTGTGATCAACAAACTTCATAGATTGTGGGCTTTGGTTGAATATAAGAGAGAGAAAGCTGTGTGCTTTTACCCTTGCAGGAGAAAAATCTTTCTTGTAAAAACAGCTACAGTGAAAGTTGATTTTGAAATATGCTGTCCAAGGATACTGATGTCTAACTGAGCATTTGGATGAATCTCATTTTTTGGTATTCTGAAGTGGTCAGGATTCACCAAGCTGCATAAGACATGGGTGTGTTTTTATCAAAATCATAATGCTGCAAATCCCAAGACATTTATGGACTTTATAACTTTATCGATGACTGAGTAAACTGCAACTATGCAATTATCGCTGCACTTTTAGCACAAACAAGCAAAATGACCTTAGAAACAGGTGAAAACTCACTTGAAATCATGAGTCATAAAATATTGACACCTATTGAAACCCAAGAAATAGTTTAATCCCACCTTCTTACTTTACAAATGAGTTAAATGAGACTTAAAAGAACAATGGGACTTGTCCAAAATCACAATGCAAGCTTGGGGCTTCTAACCAGAGCTAGAAGCCAGGACTCCTAATTCCATTCTACTCTTATGTGCAAATGACAATATACGTGCTGCACAAGAGAGAAACAAAATATATGGAAACTACTACTCAGGGAAAATATTTAAGAGAAAGACCGATTTTTCCATGCTAGTTATCACAAAGAGGGCCAGTGTGTATCACATGTCATTCCCACCATACAGACTTTAAAAATGCAACCATTTTCATCTAGAATAGCAATTTTGATGCAGATGTTTTTGCATTTTCCTTTCTAGTGGTCTCCTTAAGTTCTTGTTTCAGCAATTAAATGTGTGCAGAGCTATTTTGGCATAGTATACCCTTATCTCCTATTTTTCCCCACAATTATATTGGCACTTGTTTTTTATTTTAGGGCTCAGTTCAAAATCTATTTCCTAAGACATATCTCAAACTTACCTCTTCTGTAAGTTTTGTTGATAGCTCCAACCCATATTGATTTCCTCAGTCTCAAATTCCCAAACATATTTTAGTATCTTATTAAATACTTTAAAAAATTATCATCCATTTCCCTGTAAGTATTTTGTCACCTTAATGAATTCAGGTATATCTATGAAAAGAGATAGGGTCCCTTAACAAATTAAATGACAATAAAAGTTGAAAGAGTTATAGAGTATGTTGATATAGAAGTACTCCCAGAATTTTAGAACTTTAGTAATTTATCCAAAGTTTCAAAGGCTTGAATGATTTCTTAATGCCAATTATTCTTTTAAAGGTGCTTAAAAATAATTAGGTTAGCGTTATCTTTTGTCTCCGGATGTTTTTACCTACTGAGGTAAAAAACAAAACAAAACCAAAAAAAACCCCTTTTACAGTGTTTCTTTTTCAGATAGGTCATCAGGTTTAGAGATGGGGAAAACTGTGTGGTCCAATTCCTTTGTAAATGTAGGAATCAGTTTTTCATTTTTATCCCTTACTAAAAAATCAGTTCCAGGATAAATGAATGACTTAAACACAGAACAGTGTAGACACCAAAGTTTAACTCTCTCAATATAGAAACAAGCATCCCAATAAGAAAGAGATGCTAAAGAAATTGGTGTTTCCAATGAATCAGGATATTAAAATATATCTATAGCACTTCTACAGGGGGAAGAGCTGTATTCCCAAGGTAGGGTACTCTCTGCACATTCAAATATAAGTTAAAGGGAACAATAGCATGAAGTTCACTCGACTCCACGTGTGGCTGCTGAAGACGGAGAAAGAGGCATGAAGCGTCATCCTCCAACACGGGACCTGGTGACGGAGGTTGAGCCCTACTCACTAAGACCTTGCACTCCCTTACAGGCTTCAGTTAACTCCAAAGTCCCTGACCCTCTTCTGTTCTGCATCCTGTGGGAGGAACCTTACAGATCCCAAATCAATAGTCAAATGTAATTTAAAGCTACCATAAAAGCATATTTTAGGAATAAAATCTGAAGGAAAATGGGTTTCCTATCCCTGGGTCCCATCAATTTGGGAAAAAAATCTGATGCAAGAAGATAAAATGCCAGCTTCAGTAGCAAAAACCAACCACCACATCAAAGCTTGTCATCTGCCTTTTGGTTGAGAGCATGGCAGGCGAGTGGATCTAAAGTGCAGCCTGCTGATCATTTTATGGGCACTGA